TGTGCGTCCAAATGCCCCAGCATAGTGATGGGGACACTATACTGTCAAAAAGGCACTGACCTTTGGATGAGATGTAAGACCAAGGTCCTGAGTAGTGGTATTTCCCTAGTGTTCTGGCCAAATTTCCCCCCTGGCCTTTACCAGTCATGATGCTCTAATATATACCCATCTATGAATTGGCTTCATTACTCTGTTCTCCTCCCTACTGATAGCTCATGTGTGGTGAGCGTACTGGAACACTATGGCTGCCGTCACATCATTCAGGTGGGTGCTATACATTGGTGATGGAGTGGTTAGTCCCCATTACCTGTAAAGTGCTTTGAGTGAATTATCCAGAAAAGCACTACAGTATATAAATGTAAGGAATTATTATTAATTATAATTTTGGCTTGCTCGGCTGAACCTTCCCTATGGCCAAATAGAGGACTTATTTTCCATATCATTAATTTACTGTTAAGTGAGCAGTTTATGCTTGGTTTTCCCATAGGGAAAAAAAAGTCCTCGTCTTCACTGTCTGACTTTTTTAAAAAACTTTTGCCTGCCTTGGGGCTGCTTTACCAATTTATTTTTAAAAAATCAACCATAAAAACAGTGAATGAAATCCTCCATAGAACACTTGTGGATATGACATTATTCCGGCTAATTAATGTTTTGCACATATTTAATTTTGATCATTTCAGCAAGAGTGTCTGGGGTTAGACCTTCACTTCGCATCATATGACTCACTTTCTTTCTGCAAGATAGAATGGCAATTATAGTACAAAGTATTTAGAAAAATATAGTAGCTCTGCTTCTTCTTTTAGATGGGTTTGATACACGTCTGTGAGGGAAGTATACAGTATATGAAATGGGTTTTAATTGACATCCGGTGAAACACAACCCAACGGATTTTGAGTCAATTAAGAAGTCGATTTTGATTTCACTTTCAGTTGTAATTATTCTTGGCAGACGCTTTGTATCAGTCAGAATTTTAAGTGATTTGTTTTTGCAAATATGATTACAGTTTAATATATGTAGTCAAATTTAGTTAAATGATAAGGCACTGGAAAGTGCAGATACAGTTCAATTAGTTGCTGTTAAGTCGTGGCTCTGAACTGGAAAGGGCCATGGATGTAGGATAGGCTGAGGAGTCCACCTGCTTGATCCCAGTGAAGACAAGACCTGGGGATGCTCTGTGCAGGCGGAGAAAGAATGGACAAAAAAGGAAATGTTAAATAGGGGAGGGAAAACAGGGTGCTGCTCAGCAGAAACAAGCATGGAAGCTATGTGGCCAGGCAGGTCAGGAAAACCTGGAAGTTCAGTTCTGCTGGTCTGGTTGGTCACTGTTCAGACATAATAAGAATTTAAAGTACAGCGATCCAGCTGGCAGTGTGGCTCCACCTCAGGATTGGGTTTATTTCAGGTGCAGTCCTTTTAGGTCAGACAGACAGGTTCGTGCTAAGAGCACTTCCCTAATTCAGTAGGAAGCTCAATGATGGAGCACCTGACTGTGCACAGAACTGGGCTGAAGTAACTTGGAGCTGATGAGATTGCCAAGTGAAGGTAGGTGGCATAGATAGCCAGCCCAAACAAGTTATCACGTCACCGGGATGTGTTTGACTCCATGTGCGAACACAGCCTGTTGTTGTGGAGACCGGAGGCTGCAAACTTTGGCACGTCTGGGCGTGACAGTTGCACACTTCAGTATACAGTACCTAAAAGAGTGGTGAACTTTAAATTCTAAATTATCTGTTGAAAGAGCTGTTTTGTAGGATAACATTATAAAATAACTGTTTTTCTGTATGTAATACATACAGAAATTACAAATGTAGTTTACTTACCAATAGTGCCCATTGGCTCTGGCAAAAAGAGATTTATGCAGACAGTAGTTCATGTCTGAGTTATGTATCAGATTCCTCTACTCCACATTAAAAATAGCAATTCCAACTTGCCAACCTAAGAATTATGAGATGGGTGTTTAGAAGCAAGATAAATGAATCATGGTGAATTTTAAAACAAATCTCATAACTTCACTGTACTTATATAGGATGTGTTATATTTTTAAAAAGTTCTCTGTTTATACTATCAGGATAATTGTTTCTTCAGTGATACACTGACATGGAATAAGCTCTTACTACAATGAACATTGATTGATTGCCATACAGAGGTCTTGATAGACTCTTAATGTTGGTGCTATGGGAGACATAGTGTCTGTGATTTACGAAACTCCAGGTTTTCAGGGTCATTGAAGAACAAGCAATCAGAATCAAGTCACGTGTTCCCTAGTTGTTTGAGTACACATTGTACAGGCACAGTTCCATGATTACAGCTGATGCTATACCAATTTAAGAAGACATGTGGGAAACCTGCAATTTTGTGAGACAGCTGTGAGTGCCTCCCTCTGATTTAATAATTCCTCTTTCAGATGGACTTCCCACTTCTAGTCTCAGAGGTCTGAGGATGGTCTAATGGCAGAGAGGTTTTTCTCTGATTGTAGAAGCTTTGATTACTGAATGCTCCCTAGGATATGGAATGTTACAATTTAAATGTGAGATAAACTTTTCTAGTTCAAAATGGCTTTCTGTTCTTTATATCAAATTCCCCCCAGAACAGAACTTCTAAGCTTTCAAAGAGACTAACCTTTCTAAGTAGTTTCCCAGCAGAACAGATATATCACCACACAGGCTAGTTTACAGCACCTGAAGGCTTTTCTTAGAGATTTTCCTTGTTCAGAAAATTTGGAAGCATGATGTTTTTCATTGCTCTCCAGTGGTTCCCTCTTATTTCTTTAATTTATCATTCAAGTTCTATAAAAACAGAGATGTTTTCACAAATAAAGGTTAGTAGTTGTTTTTACTTTTTCAATTTCATGCTCCCAAGTCAGTAAATCCCAAGAGGGACTTGAGGTTGTTTTTTCAAGCAGGGAAAGGTAAAGATACTAGAAAGACCTATATTGAGTAGAGCCGGTTTCTGTTTCCATGGCAACAGGTTGCTAGGAATGTTAGGGATTCCATGCGATGACTGAAATGGGGAAATCTGTGTGTGGGCTGGAAAACCAGCTGATGTCAAAACACACTGAGATGATTGAGCTTTATTTGAAAAAGGCAGTACTTGAACTTACTTCATTTCTGTTCATATGCTTAAAAATAATGTGTTTTAAAGACATTGAAAGGAAAGAGCTTGATATAGTGTTGTGACAGTCAGTACTGCTGCCTCCCAAGTCTTGTGTCCTGGGTTCGATTCTGCACTGTGGTGACTTCTATGTCACCACATGTTCTGCATGTTCTCCCCATGTTTATGTACAGTAGGTTTTTTGCAGGGTGCTATGGTTTTCCTCCACCTCCCAGCGACATGTTGGCTTGGTTCATCAGCCTCTCTCACTTTTCCCTATGTAGCATGCCTTGTGATAAATTGGTGTCCTGCTTCCTCCCACCTTGCATCCTATACTTATGTGATGGATTCCCCGTCACCTGCCACTATTTCCATGAATGAGCTGCTTTGTGATAATGGCCAGATAAAATGTTTTTCACTTTGAAGTGTCTTAGATCACCTTCATCTGGCATCAAAGGTTGTTAAATCACACCCTACAGCAGCAGCTACCCCAGACTCCTGCCTTCCACTCCCAGTGTGTCACACTGCCAGCGTCGACTGGCTTATCTGCTTAAAAATTAGATGTCGTCTAAGTTGCATTCAAGCGCAAGGGTTCTGATGGGTCCCAGTTTTGATCATGCTTGGGTTATGACGTGGTCCAGTGTACTATTTGGTGAACTAAAATGGCAGATTTACATAACCTGTGCTTTTGGGGAAACTGAGAAAGATAATGCCAACCTACTTTGGGGGTGGAGTGGTGAGATGTTCTTTGGTGAGAGACCCCTGTGCTGTAAAGGTGTAGTAAAGCTTCTAACTTCAGAAAACAAGGTCCTTTTCAGATAGAGAACGGGTGGAAGAAAGAGAGCCTAAAAATCTGGTACAAGGCTTTGGGTTAATTAAATACAATTTATTTAGTAGTCATGGGTATAGCTGTTCCTTCACAACAATGGGAAACTGTACTTACTGACACATTATTAGCAGGATAGAACCATGGTCTTAAATAATTATTGCCACGAAATACACTGTACTTAATTCAATAACTGATTTATTATAAATGCTAGTGGCAGATTGAATGTAAATACTAATAAGTATCTGCTTGAGTTGAAATTGCATGACATCACCTGTCAATAGTTTTGCTTTTTTTAAAGCAATTAAAAGAAACGAAGCGGAAAATTAAAGAAAAGAAGGAACAGATATTATTTTTGAATGTGAAACGTTCTCATGATAGGTGTAAACCATAGTAGTAGTGCATAGTAGTAGTGCACAAGGTCATGTCCATACAGTAATATTCAGTAAGTATTCATATCTGCTGAATATCTAATTGAGGTTATGACCTCAAAACTGAGGTAGATGACTTTCAGCTAGAGATAGGTGTTTAAACTTTCAGTCCAAATTCCAGTGCACATCTTCTGAACAATAAAGGAAAGAGCACAGAAAATATTTTAGTACAGTAGGCAGCAAAGTGTATGAAGTCAGTTAATATGCACAGTAAACCACAGAGGTTAAGGTATCAATTGCTCACTTCAAATGTGGTTCACATTTTTTTTTCTCCTGAAGCACACAGACACAAGTGACAGCATTTCCAAGTGTAATAAAGACAGTTTAGACTACAGTGCTGTTGGATGAGAGATATATGTATTCCAAAGCCCTTTACTAAATACACATTGTGAACTTTACATTCAGCAGAGCTTCCCTTACTTAGCCAATTTGAGGAGCTGCAGTTAGATGTAAAATGCTGATCTATTATATCACTTCAGGCTAGAGGAGCTGTGCTTTTGAACTTCAAATCTACAGTACATTACTGAATAAATCCTGCAGAAGTTTGATCTAATACTCAGGACCTTAAGTATCACGGCTTACTGTATTTCTTTCACTCACCTTTAACCCTAACTGTTTGAATCTTAAATGCATTTTCTTTTTTCTTCTTGCAGAAAGTGAGTGAGAAGGTTGGTGGAGCAGAGGGAACCAAATTAGACGATGACTTCAAAGAAATGGAAAAGGTAAGATGCCTTTTCCCCAAATCATTTTCGATAAGAAAGTGGTAATCCCATTTTTCTTGCCAAAGGAACGATTTATTATTAAGTATTCTGAGCTACATACCAATGTGAAATAGTGTTGCTAAGTGCTCTGAAACAATCGGCAAAGTGTTTAGGTAGAATACATTTGGGTTTAAGTTTCTGATGTTGGATAAGACATCCCTTTCTGACGAATGTATGATTTCAGAATGGATTCTTGTAGTACAAAATGACATTTAAATGGACATTTAAATCAAATATCACCTTCTTATTCATGCTGTGGGTATGCAATCAGACTTGCATAGCCTATAAGATGCGTGCTCTTTGCATTAATTTGTTTATTAGTATTTATTTTATAAGGAATTAACCCAACAGGCCTTCCAAGTAGCTCCTGTTGGTAAAGGTGATCTCCCAAGGGCAGAATGTGCTCTGTGATCACGGGTTTGAACCTGGGTTACATCACTAGCTGACTGTTATTGGGATTCCCTTTACGCTGGTGTGCAATTGGCTAAGCACCACTGAGGATAGGTTGGGATTAGTCATCTATGGCTCTGTTGGCTTTTAGCAACAGAGTGACAGAAGGTGCTATCAGTCAGGGTCGAGCCTTTTTTCCATTTGGCACTGAACCTCCAGTTTGAGCTGTGCAGACTGTGATGTGTTAAAAAATGAGCGGCTCAAAGGTGAGGATGCTGGGGGAGTCAGCTTACTCTTCCTCATTTTCCTGTATGTGTGATCACAGAGATTGGAGCCGTGAGATGAGATGTGAAAAACACACATTTACTCTTCCAGATTAGCTGGGTATCACAAAAAATAATCGGCAATTCTACATTAAAAAAGAAACCAGCATCTAACAAACTCAGTCTTTGCATTTATGTTTAATTTTCCTCACTGGAAAAAAAGACTTCGCATTCATAGTAGCTCCAGTTGTGAAACTGCTATATTGAATTACTTATTAAAGTACTGTATATTAAGGCATATTCTAGTGTTAACCTGAGATCTTTTACTTTGAAAATTCACTGTTAACTCTTTGCTAGACATTCAATAAATCAGCTGAATTGTCTCCAAATATTTTTAAGACTGGAACATTTTACAGTCTAAAAATACTTTTTTTTAAAACTTGAGAGTATGTCATACAGTTTGTAAATTCACAGTGGTCCAAACCAAGATTAGGGTTATATTTCATTGTTGTCACAAATTTTGAAGTAATTTGCTTTTTTTATGCTTTTAGGTTTTCGATTCCTGACATTTTGTATTTAGTCACTTCCAAAAGGTCAGCTTCCCTTCAGGGCAGCGCTGGTGTTTCCTCAAGGGCACTATCTGTCTGATGTCACTCATAGCTAAAGGAGAAAATGGTAGCTGCTGGCTACCATTTAAAAAAATATTCCTCCAGAAGCTGCGATTGACTTGGAATAAACAGCAGGCGCAAGAACACATCTCTCCTGCTCTTAAAAAAAATTTCACAGTTCAACTCTTAAACGTAATTGGTTTTTTAACCTAATGCTCAAATCTTGACTCAATTCGGACAATCAATACAATATTTACAGACATGCTACTTAAACAATTATGGCAACACACAATGAATTATAACAGTATATCTTTTAGGAATTCAGCTACAATTAAATGTGTTGTGAGAAACTTCTGTCATCTGAAATGTTACAAAATACTGCACTGCAGTATGGATTTAGGTATCTTGATTGACAGATCATTATGGCTTGTTCTTCACTGGCCATCCACTCAGGTTTCACAGGGAAATTACATTACGCTTAATTAAAGCCAGTTTCCAGCCAGAGTATCAGAGTATCAGATTGCCACCCAGAAGTGTTTCAAGGAAACCAGGACTCCTGTAATATTTGTTCAGTCACTCATCTTACTAGGGGGAAAAAATAGAAAACCTCTCAGTGCCAATTTAGGGATCTTTTTTATTTAGTGGGAATAAAAATATAAAGAAAAAAACAGACATTTTACCTGTGAAAACAACCAATATTGGAATATCCTATACTGTACATTTTGAATTCAAGGCACTTAGAGTTTAGTTTATCCTTCCTTATAGCACCTGCGTTTCAATGAATACAAGGGTGCTACCAAAACTAGTGTATGGTAGATCATTTTCTCTTTTAAGTAATTTTAAGATTAATCACTTAAAAACAGTCTATTTTAGTAAAATAGTAAGTTTTAGGAGAAATTCACTTGCTCAGAGTATCAGATTTCACTAATGTGGAGAATAAGCATACTGCAGTGTATTAATACTTGGGATAATGAATGCATTGTGAGTCACAAAAAATTAAAGATTACTTACAAAAATTAATAGCTACAAATACAGTACATTAATAGATTATCTCAGCGAGGAAAACACATGGGACTGCAAAACATACAGTGGTTACTGTAATGAATTCCAGGAATCAGTGTCAAAGAAAACGATCAAAGAGTCAAGCCAGAGGAGTTGACAAAAACACGAGGGCAACAAGCCAAAGACCAGACTAGGGAAAAAACATCAGAAACGGGCAAGTGCTGACTCAGAGTTAAGGTTAAGCGAGGCTGAGTAAACTTAAGGTTGGCAAAAAGGGAATAAATACCCCCAGGTGAGCAGTGTTTAGTTATGGACCAGTGGGCACAAACACCAACCTGATCGTGTTGTTACGGCAACGGGCAGATTGGATGAATAATTTGATGATTGCCCACCTGCTGCGGTGTAACTAGAAATGGCACTCATCTGACCATGATCATTACAAATGACATGTTCGTTTTCAGTAATGAAGTCAGTCATTTTTTTATTGCAAACAGGTGTGCTTGTTTGTGCTGATCCGTTTTATATTGCAGTGAAGGTGAAAAAGAAGGTGAGTCTGATCTTGAGGCTTTGATCCCAGGACCAGAATTAAGTTATGAATGGAGTATATTGGCAACATATGTACATTGGATAGCAGAGGGTGAATATCAAAAAGGTTCACTGGCTCAAATAAATCAGTGAGCTGCCCATGGAAACTGCTTGAAAAGTGGTGGCCCGAAAATTGAACTACTGTTTGGCTGTAAACATGTAGGAATGGGACTAAGGATGAGACATAGGTTTCCAGTATTGATTCCGTCAAAAACGCAATACATGACATGAAACCTAAGCGCTAGTGCCAAGAATTTTGGTGTTTTGATATGTGTACTGGATTTTAAAAACTACAGATTTTACAAAATCAAAAAGAAACCATAATTTCATCGTGTTCTTTTCTTACTGGGATGAGAAACCAAATACAAGTACATATACAGTATGCAGTGTTTTCTAAGATTTTTCTTAATGGTTTTTTTTTCTTCTGTGGAATCCATTTAGAAAGTCGACGTTACCAGCAGGGCTGTTTTGGAAATAATGACCAAGACAACCGAGTATCTCCAGCCAAATCCAGGTAGGTGATGCTCACTGGCTGTTGTGTGTGACTCAGGTGGGTGCAGCACTTCAGGAGAGGATCGAGTGGATCCCTTCCTACTGTACTTGCAAAGCATTTTGGGATCCTTTGGGATCAAAAAAAGTGTTAGATAATGCATTTCAAGAAATGATGTCAATTTAAGTTTCTAAAGCTGTTTACAGCAAGCTTTGAGTTTAAAAAAAGCCTTGAACATTAGTTCAAGACATGAAGCAAATTTAACAGAATTCTCTATTACAAAAGATCTCACCGGCACACTGCAATTTTCAAAATTCCCTTTAGAATCTACACAAGGACAGGCTATACAGAAGTTTTTTGTGTGTGTCTGCTTCATTATGTTTTTGGTGGTGTGATACAGAAATTATCTCTCTATGTTACAGCTGCTTACAAGTAATAATAGAGAGGATTTCAGTGTACCTCCAATGAATTTAATAAACAAAACCCAAATTTTACAGTTCCCCCACACAAGGCTCTCTCTCAGCATGATAGGCATTTTCATGTTTGGAGTTAATAGAGCTTCTCACAAGTCTATCAACAGCTGAGATACAGCAGTTCAACTGGACTATTTATCCACACTAATACAGTAAAGCTGTCTGCTCAAGAGAGACTAAGTACTGCATAATCTAATTTAAATAAGGGCATGGTTTGTTTAGTTTGTGTGAGGTTCTTTGGTTGACACAACAGGCGAATACAGACTAGAAAATTTATGTAATGTTTAGTTTGCATCCCAATCTTATAAAAAGAGTTTTTAAACCTGCTTAGGGGAACATTACAGCCTGTAATCAAAAAGTCAAATTGTAATAGAACCACTTCTGCCATTTTGGATGAATATCAGCATTCCACAACAATTTTTAATTCACTCTGTGAAATCTGGTAGAATAACACTGAAAAAAGAACGTGATAAAGATGAATCTGTTATTGTGATACATCTGGTCAATACTTTATTATGGAAGATATTGCGAAACTTTCCAAAATTTCATTTTAGAATCACAAGTTATTTTCCCTTTAACTGCATTATTTTGAATTGCCAGTTTTCATTGTAGCACATCAGCAGAAGATGAATGAAGGAGCAGCATTGAAATTTAACCAGAGCTTTATTAAAGACACAAGAGATATTATACTACAATGACAGGAATCAATGTTTTTCTTCTGTAGCCCAGCACACAGTCTCTCCTGACAGCTCCAGAAGTGCACAGCCTTTAGAGTCATAATCTGTCTTTATTTCAAGATAACCACGATATACGGTACATACCGTGTACTATTAACATGAAAAATGTCTTGCCTTATTTTTCATTTCTGTCCTGTATTAAATAGTCTAGATACTGTATAAAGTAATTTAAGTTTGTGATATTAAAACTATGGTAAGACATTGGATCTCATTATATAATACAGTACAGTATGTACTTGAAAATGGCTGGTTAGGAGTTGATGTGTACTGTATGTTAAGGCATTGTATTTCGTGATATAACAGTACACGTTCTGCACACTAAAACAAATGAATTAAGTATTTAGGAAATAAAGAACTATATGGTAATATTAATAACTCCTACATATTGTAAAATATGGTTAATGTAGCAATACAGTGCCTAGATACAGTATAGAACTTAAAAGTACAAGAAGAAAATTTATTGGGAAATGAGTGGGTTACCTAAAATGACCATAGAGTGATCCGAAAACAGTCTGGATAGATTTTTCCATCCATTCAACCATGTTCTAACCACTTCTTCCGATTTAGAGTCTCAGGGAAGCCAGAGCCTATACCGGCAAGCAAAGGGCACAAAGCAGGATACACCCCGGATGGGAAGTTCTAGTCTGTTACAGAGCACACACAGATACATACACAAACACAGACACATACTGTACACACTCACATCAGGGCCAATTTTCCCAGAAGCCTATTAGAGCATGCTGAGTATTATATATTGAAAATAATTCTATTGGACTTTATTGTTAACCCTAATGCAGGGGTGTCAAACCCTGGTATTGGTAGACGGGTGTTGTCTGTGGTTTTTCATTACAACTCAGCTCTTAGCTCTAAGCGGTTACTTTCTAATTACTTGGTAAGATACAGTGCCTTGCGAAAGTATTCGGCCCCCTTGAACTTTTCAACCTTTTGCCACATTTCAGGCTTCAAACATAAAGATATAAATTTTTTATTTTA